AGGGCGCTGGACCCCCCCACATGCCCAGCCACAGCTTGAGTCTTGGACCTGGTGGTTTGCTTGCTCACTTTCCCTTTCTCTCCTCTCTCTCTGTCTGGTCAAATTAAAATAATAATAATAATAATAATAATAACTAATGAAATAAAACAAGTAAATAAATAAAGTAAATAAGTCTCTAAAAATATATATATTATGGGTGGCATGGTGGTTAAGGGCGCTGGCTTCCCACATGGCTGACTGTGGTTTGAGTCCCTGACCTGGTGGCTTGCTTTCTTACTTTCCCTCTCTTTCTTTCTCACTCTGTCCCTGTCTGGTAAAATTAAAAAATAAATAAACTTAAATAAAATAATTATTAAAAAATATATATGTATATATATTATGGTATGTTAACAATCTGAAAACTATAACAGGGAATATCCAACTCAGGCTACAGATGGAAAAGGCATAAAGTGGAGGAGCCTAATCAGGCAGGGACTGTTGGGATGGTGGGACACAAGCTTTCAAAAAAAGGCCACATAAGCATACACATTCCTAGGATCCTGACGGGACAGAGAGTTGGAGGGAAAAGGACTGTGACATAATGACATGACCAGCCCCATTAGGGAAGCTCTGTCTCTGGATGGACACACTCTATGGCATTTAGGGGGAAAAAAAATCCACCGTTTAGAGCTTTTGTTTCCATTTGCAGTAGGAAGTAGGACATGTGTGCTCATCAGAGACACAGAAAAAGAGAATGAGTGAGAAATACCCCCAAGAGGAGGATGGCCACACAGCAACCCCTTTTCCTCCATTCTCCTCTTGGGATTTTTTTCCCTTTTTTAAGAATTATTTTATCAGGACCAGCAGTTGGCGTAATGGCTATGTCGTTGGACTCCGATGTAGTCAACTGTAGTTCGAGTTCCGGACCTGGTGGCTTAAACTCACGCCAGGCGCGTGTGCATGCACACCCAAGATCCTGAGAGGAGAATGGAGGAGAAGATAATGCGACAAGGCCATCCCCTCTGGGGGTGATTTTTCACTTTCTATCTCTCTGTCTTCTTGGCGAGCACACGTACCCTAAACAAACCTCTCAAAAAAAAAAAATTATTGTATTTAACTTTTTTATCCACTTATTTTAATTTGGCCAAAAAGAGACAGTGTGAGGGAGAGAGATAAAAAAAGCAAGAGAGCAAGCCGCCAGGTCCAGGACTCGAACCACAGTCAGCCATGTGGGAGAGTCCAGCACCCTTAACCACCACATCACCTGCCGGCCCCCCATATTCACTTACTTTTAAAACGAAAAATACTGGGCTGGCCATTGGCCTGGTGGTTAAGGTGGCTGAATCCCACCTGGGTGACCACGTGACTCAAATTCTGAACATGGCGGCTCTAGAAATGTACAGGGTACGAGTGTATTTGTGTTCAAATCCCTAGAAGGGAAAGGAGAAGGACAGTGGTGTGGCCATCTCCCCATAGGGGAGTGATTTCTCACTTTCCCTCTCTTTTTCTGTATCTCTCTGGCCAGTTACATGCACTACATCAAACTTACAAAAACGGAAAACACCAAGTATTGAATAATTCAGTAAAATCATTAAAGGTAAGTGTTTATGCTTACAGGAAGGAAGGAAATGTTAAGGATTTTTATTTATTTATTTTTTAGGATTTTTGCCATAGGGGACAAGCGCTTGCCAGAGAGAGACAAAGAGAGGGAAAGTGAGAAATCATCCCCGCCCCACAGGGGATAGCCACACTACAATCCCATCTCCTCCATTCTCCTGCTGGGATTTTGGGCACTCAGACACATGTACCTACAACCACAGTTTGAGTCCTGGACCTGGTGGCTTGCTTTCTCACTTTCCCTCTCTCTCTCTTTGTCTCTCTCTGGTGAGTATGTGTGCCCAGTAGCACATTTAAAAATAACAATAATGATGAATAAAATTAAATAAATAATTCTTTAAAAAAATAAATAATGCGCTACTATTGGGAGTGGCAAATCGACACCTTCAGTCAAGGCCCCCTCTCTCCATGAGGACCTGAATGAAGGCTGCCAACTCTGAAACTTCTGAGTTTCTTCTTGTGGTTAATCATCCCCATTTTGATGGGCATCCTTGTTTTTTGTTTGTTTGATTGGTTTTCTTTTTTTTTTTTTTTTTGAGTTTTTTGCCATAGGATGTGTGTGTTCGCCAGACAGACAGAGAGAGACAGAGAGACAGAAGGTGAGAAATCACTCCCCCAGGGGGATGGCCATGCCACAATCCCTTCTCCTCCATTCTCCTCTCGGGATCTTGGGCACGCACGCACACACGCCTGGCTTGAGTTTAAGCCACCGGGTCCAGAACTTGAACCGTGGTCAACTACATGGGAATTCAGCGACATAGCCATTACGCTAACTACTGGTCCCATCCAATTGTTTCTTTTTTTAAAGTGAGATTTTTCCTATAGGGTATGTGTACTTGCCAGAGACAAAAGGCGAGAAATCACCTCCGAGGGGAGATGGCCATGCTCCAATCTTCTCAATTCTCCTCTCAGGATTTTGAGCATGCACACACATGTGCCCGGTGTGAGTCTTAAGCTTCCGGGTCCAGGATTCAAACCAAGGCTGTCTAAATGGGAGACCAGTGATGTAACCATTACACTATCTGCTGGTCGCCTGCCAGCCCCAATTTTTTTTAAAAAATATTTTATTTTATGTATTCATTCATTTATTTTAATTTGAACAGAGAGAGACACAGAAGAGAGAGAGAGGGAAAAAGAAAGCAAGCCACCAGTTCTGGGACTCAAACCAAGGTCGGCCATGTGGGAGTGTCTAGCACCTTAACCACCACGCCACCTGCTGGTCCCCAGCCAGCCCCAACTTTAAGGCATTTTTATCTTCTACTACAGTAGGAAAAGCACAAGCATTTACCTATTTCAGATCATAAAAGTATCATTTTCTTTCTTTCTTCTTTTTTTTTTTTTTTGAGAGGTTTTTGCTATAGGGTGCATGCACTTGCCAGAAAGACATAGAGAGACAGAGAGACAGAAGGTGAGAAATCACCCCCCAGGGGGGATGGCCACACCACAATCCCTTCTCCTCCATTCTCCTCTGGGGATCTTAGAAAAACACACACACATGCGCCCGCCATGAGTTTAAGGCACCAGGTACAGGACTCTTAACTGCGGTCGACTACATGGGAGTCCAGCGACGTAGCCATTACACCAACTGCTGGTCCCCAAAAGTATCGTTTTCTTATTATTTCCATGATGACAAAGCATTTAGTAAATAATCACATTATGATTACCATGTTCTGTTCCACATGACTGAGCACTCACCTCTGAAGTCCAGATAACAGAAAACAGAACGGAGTCATTCACCATCACAAGTTCTTCACCCTGGGAAGGAGAGGAATTGATACCTGAGTAACTCTTTGTAATTCACCAATTTCTTTTTTTTTTTAAGAATTATTTTATTTAACTTTATTTATTATTATTATCATTGTTATTTTCCAGTTTGATCAGAGAGAGACAGAGAGAGAGAGAGACAGAGGAAGTGAGAAAGCAAGCCACCAGATCTGAGACTTGAACTGTGGTTGGCCATGTGGGAGTCCAGCACCCTTAACCACCATGCCACTTGCCGGCCCTGTAATTCACCAATTTCTTTAGCATGTTTTCATTTTTTTTAGAGAGAGATTCTTGCTATAGGGAGCATGTGCTTACTGGAGAGACAGAGAGACAGAAAGCGAGAAATCCCCCCCCAGGGGGGATGGCCACGCCGCAATCCCTTCTCCTCCATTCTCCTCTCGGGACCTTGGGCACGCATGCACACGCGCCCAGCGTGAGTTTAAGCCACCGGGTCCGGGACTTGAACTGTGGTTGACTCCATGGGAGGGAGTCCAGTCACGTACCCATTACGCCATGTGCTGGTCCCAGCACACTTTCATTTATTTATTTAATTAACTAGTTTATTTAGCTGTTTCTCTTTTTAAAAGATGTATTATTTAATTTCATTTATTGTTATTATTATTCTCTAGTTTGTTACAGGGCACATATGCTGTAACATATGCTGAGAGAGAGAGTGGTCAAGCAATCTGGCAGGTCTGGGACTCGAACCATGGTCAGCCATGTGAGAGTCCAACACCCCAACCACCACGTCACCCACTGGCCCTCTAGCACACTTTCCTCTGGAAAGGTACTCATTTCTCTAAAGCCATAAAAGAAGAGTGGTTTTCCCCATTTCTCAGATTCTTCACCCGCTGTAGGTTTCTCAAGTCTAAGCCTTGGAATTTGATTTGAAATCAGGCAAAAGAAAAGAACGGGGGAGGGGGGGAACCAGCAGTTAGCGTAATGGCTATGTCGCTGGACTTCCACATAGTCGACCGCGGTTCACATCCCGGACCCGGTGGTTTAAAACTCACGCCGGGCGCGTGTGCGTGCGTGCCTAAGATCCCGAGAGGAGAATGGAGGAGAAGGGATTGTGGCATGACCATCCCCCCTGGGGGATGATTTCTCGCTTTCTGTCTCTCTGTCTCTCTCTGTCTGTCTGGCGAGCGCACGCGCCCTATAGCGAAAAAAACCTCTCCAAAAAAGAAAAAAAAGAAAAGAACAGGGGACCAGCAGATGATGTAACAGTTACGCTGCTAGACTCCCACGTAGTTGACCACGGTTCCTGCGACTTAAAACACATCAGGCATGTGGGGACCAGCAGTTGGCATAATGGCTATGTCGCTGGACTCCCACATAGTCGACTGCAGTTCGAGTCCCGGACCCAGTGGCTTAAACTCACGCCGGGCGCGTGTGCGTGCGTGCCCAAGATCCTGAGAGGAGAATGGAGGAGAAGGGAATGTGGCATGGCCATCCCCTCTGGGGGGTGAGCACACACACCTTACAGAAAAAAATCTCTCGGGGCCAGCATATGGTGTGGTGGTTAGAGGCACTGGATTCCCACAGAGCCGACCACAGATTGAGTCCTAGACCTGGTGGCTTGCTTTCTCACTTTCCCTTTCCCTTTCTCTTTCTCTGGTCAAATTAAAAAATAATAATAACAAATGGAATTAAACAATTCTTTTTAAAAATTTAAAGAAAACTCTAAAAAAAAAAAAAAAAAACAGAAAAAAAAAAAAAGATCTTTTCAAGCCTGGTATAGCAAGCTAGATGCTTCTGTTGGACAGGCTGATATAATGTGAAGCCACAGTTCCTTTTTTATTTTTTTAAATTGTTTTCTCTATTTAATTGATCATTCTTGCTATTTTTTAAAAGAATTCTTGTATTTAACACCATGTATTTAATTTTTTTTATATTTGACCAGAGAAGGACAAAGCAAGAGACAGAAAGTGAGAAAGCAAGCTTCCAGGTCTAGGACTCGAACTGTGATCAGCCATGTGGAAGTCCAGCGCCCCCAACCACCACGTCACCCACTGGCCCCTATTGTTATTTTTTGTTATTTTTAAAAATTTGACCAAAGTGAAACACAGAGAGAGAGAGAGAGAGAGAAAGAAAGCAAGAAAATAAGTCACCAGGTTTGGGACCTGAACCACGGTCGGCCATATGGGAGTCCAGCACCACAACCACCACGCCACCTGCCAACCCGGGAAGCCATAGTTTAATACTTGGCCACCCATAACCATAAGACCAAGTTCAGAGGCTCACAGCTAACTTCCAAGTACTCCCGCAACTGAGGGAGGAAGACCACAACATCAGAGAGCCTACCTAAAAAAAAAAACCACCACAGGGACCAGCAGTTGGCGCAATGGCTATGTCGCTGTACTCCTATGTTGTTGACCGCAGTTCGAGTCCCGGACCCAGTAGCTTAAACTCACGCTGGGCGGGTGTGCATGCATGCCCAAGATCCTGAGAGGAGAATGGAGGAGAAGGGATTGCGGCATGGCCATCCCCCCCGGGGGGTGATTTCTCACTTTCTGTCTCTCTGTCTCTGTCTTTCTGGTGAGCGCATGCACCCTATAGCAAAAACAAAAACAAAACAAACAAACAAACAAAACACTACACACATGAACCAGCAAGTGGTGTGGAGGTTAAGGCACTGGATCCCACATGGTCAACTGGGTGGTGTGACTCCTGGACCTAGTGGCTTGATAATCACACCAGACACAAGTGCATGAGTGCTCAAAATCCCAAGAGAGAAGAGAAGAGATGATGGGAAGCATAGCTACCTCCCCGAATGGTAATTCTTCTTTTTCTTTTTTTTTTTTTTTTAAAGAATTATTTAATTTTATTTATTCATCCATTTATTTTCATTTTAAAGTAAAGAGAGAGAGAAGGAAAGTGAGAAAGCAAGTCACCAGGTCCGGTACTAGAACCATGGTCAGTCATATGGGAGTGTCCAGCACCTTAACCACCACGCCACCTGCTAGTTCCCTGAGTGGTAATTTTTCACTTTCTCTCTCTGGTGAGAGCATGCACCCTATAGCAAAAACAACTTAAAAAATAAAAATAACCACACACACACCACTGTCCCCAAATAAAGGAGGTTAGCACCATCATCTAGTGGTTAAGAGAGCAGGATTCCCCTATAACTGACTACTAGTCAAATCTGAGCCCAGGTAGCTAGAGCTGGTCAATCAGCTACTGGGAGTCCAGCCACCTTAACTGCAAAGGCTCAGGCTGGCCCTCAGCTGGGATATGTTAAGTGGTTGGGAAAGTCATGAAATATTTTTTCTATGCAAAAATGTATTATGACATTTTAGGGGCCAGCAGGTGGCGTGGTGGTTAAGAGTGTTGGACTTTGAGGGAACCAGCAGTTAGCGTAATGGCTATGTCGCTGGACTCCCACGTAGTCGACCGCAGTTCGAGTCCCGGACCCGGTGGCTTGAGACTCACGCCGGGCGCGTGTGCGTGCGTGCCCAAGATCCCAAGAGGAGAGAGAATGGAGGAGAAGGGATTGCGGCGTGGCCATCCCCCTGGGGGGTGATTTCTCACTTTCTGTCTCTCTGTCTCTCTCTGTCTGGTGAGCGCAGGCACCCTATAGTGAAAATCTCTCCAAAAAAAAAAAAATTGCTTTATAAATTTTCCACCAAGAACCAGATAGGAATCATTCTTTCTCTGGGTCCAGTTCAAATAGATAAGCTATCATTAATTCCTCAGGGTGAACTCTTGAACTCAATTTGATTTCCATCATCTTCAAGATCTACTATGGAGCAAGGTCCAAAGGCTGTATGCTATATATCTTAGTTATTAATGAACAAATAATATAAATATTGAATAATGTTATATTATTAAAATAACTTGAAACCATTACAAAAAAAAAAAAAAAAAAAAAAAAAAAAAAAAAAAAAAAAACCACGCAATTATTTTTGGTTTATGACAATTCTTTTTAAAAAAGAATTATTTTATTAAACTTTACTTATGGTTATTATCTCTAGTTTGATCAGAGAGAGACAGAAAAAGACAGAGGGAAAGTGAGAAAGCCAACCACCAGGTCTGAGATTCGAACCACAGTCGTCCATGTGGGAGTTCAGCACCTTAATCACCACACCTCCTGCTGGCCCCAACTTTTTAATATATATATATCTTATTTTTAAAGTTTCCTATAGGGCACAGAGACACAGAGAAGGAAAGCAAGAAATCACCCTTGTCCCCAGGGGGATGGCCATGCAGCAATCCCTTCTCCTCCATACTCCTCTCGGGACTTTGGGCACACACGCACATGCGCCTGGTACGCTTTCTTCAAGTCCAGGACTCTGTGTGGGATCCAGCTGCCTTAACCTCCACCAGACCTGCTGGCAATGACATGGGATTTTTTATTTTCAGAGACTTTTGCTATAGGGCATACGCACTAGCCAGAGACAGAAAGAGAGAAATCACCCCCTGGGGGGGGTGGCCACGCTGCAATCCCTTCTCCTC